AAAAGACCCATATACAAATTTCTAGATCGTCGGTTTTCATTTACTATCGAATTAATTTACACTTATTTTAAAGGACCAAGTTTTTTCTTAATTAGCTTCGGATGAACATTGGAAAGGTTGAAGTATTTTTCAATTTTATAGATCTTTAGAGTCTTGGAAATCGTATGATGCCCAGAAAATAGAAGTAGTCCGTGCAGTTCAAAAGCTATGAAGTTTAAATAAAAAACTTTTTTTCCAATTAACATCTGAAAATTGGACCAAATTTTGGTGAGCATTCTATGGAAGAAAGGAAGCATTTTCCACTTTCTCAGAGCAAAACCCTCAAAATAGTTTCCAATTCAGAACTACATTTCAAAGCCAGTTGCAGTATTTTTCAACGCCACCACCTTAAGAGAAGAATTATACGCGGCAGGCAATAAGAAAACAAGGCGCGCGCGGTTTTTCGCAATTAGAGGAGATAAAAAGAAAGAAAGAGAACGTGGAGGAAGCACTTAAGAGCTTTAAAAGTTGTAGTGCGATGGCGGGCGAGAAGAGAAGCATGAAAGTAGTATAGCAGCAAGGTGTGGCAACAAAAGCCGAATCCTCCGAGATTGTGCGGTCTCGGCCGGCCGGCATCTCCGCTCATAATGTATACGGGCGCGCCGTAATAATCCCTGGAGAATCGCAGCTGCTATAGCGTTATAGATGTGCGTGTATGAGAGATTGAAAAAATCCCTTAACAAAAGAAGAAGAGAGAATATCAGAGAGACAGAGATATATAAAGTAGAGAAAGGGTCTCTCTGCTACTTTTTCTTGTTGTTGTTGTTGTCCTGCAGATCTCTCTTTCGCTCTCTCTTCCTACTTGATATTACTCACTTGTAGCCGCAAAAATGTTTTCCTTGCCTCTCGACCCCCTATTAGAAGGGATTTATCGCCCGGGAAATCAGCATGCGAGAGCAGAGCACGGCGCTGCCTCTTCTTATATTTTGCGCCGATTTTCGCCCCGGATTAAATATATGCCCCTAATACTCGCACATACACACACACAGAGAGAAAAGCACCGCTCCAAAAAAGATGGATGATCTTTGCTTTGCTTCGCTCTCTCGCTCCGGATGAGAGTTGAAAAGCTGCTTTTCCGCCAGCGCTCTCTCGCCGCGCGCGCCCGACACAAAGAAAACAGCCGCATTTATTTCCATTCCTGATGTGCTTCGCCTGCTTTCTCTGCGCACACACAGCAAATTATTTTCGGTCATCGAACCAATTCGTTGGAATTTCCTGATTTCTTCCTCCTTTTTTTCCATGTCGATGCTTTTGCAAATTAAATTCGATCAAACAATAAATTTATCAAAATTTCCATCTAAACCAATTTAAGTGGATTTCAAATCATTTTAATTTTAATTGATAGTAAAATAATTAATATCTTTGTTTAAAGGATAGATAAAAAAATTAATTATAAAATACATTTATTCATATTAAACCTGAAATTGGAGATAGTTTTACAAATTGGAATTGAATTTATAAATTCCATCTCCATTTCAAAACTTTTGAATCGTAAAGCATGATTATTCTTTGATAATTTTATGTTTTTTATGCTTAATTCTCACGTGGACCGGTAAAATCGCTGGTGCCTGAAAGTGGCAAGGAGGCTTTTCTCAAATGCAAATTCAAGCAGCGCAAATCAATTCAGGAACAATTAGCCAGAGCAAACAGAAATTAGCACAAATTTGCATAGCAGCAGAGCGCAACACCTGAGCCGCGTCCGTCCCTCTCGCCGCCGAAACAACCTCGATCTAATTAACGCGCATCAAAGCAGAAGGCGAGATTCAGCCCTGCATTCCATTATGGTAAGACTGGCGGTCGATGATATAATAATGCACTTGGGCATGGGTCAGGGAGATACTCAACGAGTCAACGGAGATGCGCCGTCAGAGATTTGCGCTAGAATCATTAAAATGTCTGGTTCCAATATAGTGTAATAGTAAAAAAAATTAGATAATTATGTGAATTCTTATAACCAACAGTTAAAGGGTCAAAAAGCACCTGTTCAAAAAAGCGGCAGTTCATACAGACACGATTTAAATTAATTTCAACGTGAGAGACAAATCATATCCAACGTAATTTGCTGATGGCGCGTCTCACACTTCTCTGCACTGAAATTATGTTAATTTAATGAGAAGGTGTCGAGTGCATGGGCAAACACGGCCCGAGGGGTTTGCATACATTTTGCGCAACCCCATTAACTCGGACAAACAAAGCCGGTCGGAAATATTTATGTATGTACAATGTGTGGTGGAACTGTTGATCGCTACTTGTTGCTCGCAGCTAATCCGACGGAGGCGCCGCCGCCGCCTCAGAGGCGCCGCCGTGCCACCCCCGACGGCGCCTGAACCTAACACGAGGCGCCAGCCTCTCGGCCACGCGTGAAAGAGTAGCTCGCGCGACCCTATTAAAGAGCCACACACACACAGATAGGGTTTCTGCCCCGCACTACAATGCCTGACAATCGCGTTTTGATGAGAGTCGACATCAATGCATAAAATAATACGCCATCATCGGGGCCGGCCGGTCACTCTATTATTTTACCCCCCATATTAAGTTTCCTTCCTGCAAAAGCTGCTTATGTGTATTTTCGGTTGCAAAAGATGGATGGAATTTCGCGCCGCCCGATTGATTATTATTCCGAGAGGGTTCTGCTGATTTCCATTCAGTGCTGCTGAGAGCAGCGCACCCCTGATTGCTCGAATTGTTGTTGCGCGCGTCCCGAACACAGGCTTATAATTTCGAGAGGCCTTTGTTATGGTTGTTCTCGAGAGTGCAAAACACACGGCATAGTCCTATTCCACTCTGTGTATCATGAATTACATTTATTCATTGTCAGGTAAACAAGGAAAACCTTGCCACACCTTATTTGGGGAACCCCTTCTTATATTAATTAGGAAAAATAATTAGAGAATAGTTGTTTTCATCTCTTTCATGAGTAAAATGTATATTATTTTCTAGGAACCGCAATTATTATTCGGAATTTTCCCAAAATACATTGATCTGAAAACGCAATTTATTGTTAGGAGGACAGGACATCAATTGTAAAAATAACCATTTTTCAGAGAAACTTTATGAATTTCTGAAAAATTCTTGTTTCTGGGGAAAATGAATTTTTGGTCAATATAACGATGACTCCTTATTTCCAATGCCAAGCTATCCGGTTTCGTACATATTTGTTCCAATTAGAGCTGAAATTGGATACGACAAGTTTGTAGAATGTTTAAATTTAGAATGGATTTATTTTCGATATCCGCCAACAATTAATCTATGCCTTCATTTTTAGTTAATAAAAATTAAAACATGATATGCAGAAATGCAAATAGCATAATAATTAGTACAATAAAATTGAGATTTTAATTGTTTATATGAGCTACGAAATTGCACTCGAGGAGATAGGAAAACGTTTTTATTTGAAACAAAAAGCCAACTATTCACTATTTAATAATTCATAATTTTCACTTTCTAGTCGTTTTAAGATCGATTTGATCTGTTCCTTAACTAATTTTAAGTGATTACCCCCCCCCCCCCAAGAATCGCAAAAAAATTTTAAAATGCTGCCAAATGTTCCCATCTATAATACGTAATACAAAATTTCACACTTAAAAAAGCACACGAGAAAAATAGCTGCTAAATCCTGGCTTTCTAAAGCTTCAATTCCTTTAAACTTTGAAATCTGCTGACAAACACAGAGCGATGCCCCGATGTAAAAAAAAGTCTTGTGCGATGTGCGAGACATAATTAAATCAAAAAAAGGGGCCGGTCTTTTAAAATGGCCTGCGGATGTCAGGAAATTTGAATAATCAAGCCAAACAGAAAATGCGGCGAATTTCGCCGGCGGTCTTCTGCAGCACGTCAAGTGAAAAATCACCTCTTTGGCGGCGGATTGCGATCCGTTGGTGAAAAGAAGACGTGGCGCGACCCTCTTTGCTCAACTTAATACCCTGCACTTTGTCACCAACACAGCGCCGTAATGCCATATTCATTAGCGAGACACAAGCCTCGTTTGCTTGCCTGCATTTCATCACCGCAAATTGCGCGCCTGCTGCATTTGATTTTTTACAACAAAGTGCCTGTCAACTCGCAACGCCTCGTCCTTTTCTTATACGTACCCTTGTTATCTCAACCCAGAGCTAAATTACACGCCACGCATTTTCACTTACTTGCTCCACTTGTTACATAAATATTATTTCGCCATCATTTGTTACGAATATAATAAAAATAAGGAGAGGGCGCCAGTTCCTTATTCCTTCATTTGTCATAGAAACACAATTTGAAAGAATTGTTTCGAATATGTAAAAAATAGAAAAAAAATTGAAATTTTTCAAGAAAATTATTTTTGTACTTGTTTGGGAAATTAATTCATTTTGGTAATTATCTTTGATAAAATGTTTATTTTAACGCGATAAAGGAAAATTGTAGAAAATTCATATTTGCGAAACTAACCTTTGATAATAGCGGATAATAGTTTTATCGTGCCGCTCTCTGCAGAAACAAAATGCAAAGGCGGAAATTTATGCTTGTAACGCATCAACTCTTGTCATGCCGCCTCAAATGTATAAATTGGATCATAATACTGTGCTTTTTTTGCCGATAATCGTTGACAAAACGGCCAAAAGACTCAGATATAACCACCAATTTTGTTCAATTAGGCCACGATTCGACGCTCTGCCGACGCCAGGGCTAAGTTGACTGAATAAAATTTGCACGTTTTTCTCACTCGCTTTGCCTTAATACCCAGAGTTATTGAATTCAGTTAAAGCGCTTATTTGTCTCCGCGTATTTAGTTTTATTTTTTGTAAAAAATTGTCTTTTGTTGGGAGAAAAAAAACCAAAAAAGTTACATTTAAAAAAAAAAACAACAACAATAGAGCCGTTTGACAGTATTGCAGAATTTTCTCATCATTGTTGAAAAATATTCAAAATTTCGGTAGATTCTAAAATTTCATTAAAATTATTTGCCGTTGATCCAAAATTTTATCATGAATCGTCCGGAGCTGTCTGAGGAAAACCTTGAACTCATCCAGAAAAAGGCTGAAAGCTATAAAATCAAAGTAAGTATAATTATAGTTCTCATAAAGATGATTTTTTTCAATCAATGAATTCTACAGAAGCTTTGCCGGCTTACAAAGAGCAAGAAGCTTCTCATTTTAGACTTGGACCATACTCTTATCAACGATAAGTGGGACGATTACATTCCCCTTCAGAGACCTTTTCTTCATGACTTATTGAAGGGGGTTTACAAAAACTATAATATTGCTACTGAATCACCCATGTCTCGTATCATGGAGGTTTTGGGTGAAATGAGGATGACGAACCACAAGGACTACAGGTTTTTTTTTTTAACTTTTACGCGTGTGAATTTTTGAAACAATTTTTATTTCAATTAATGCAGGATCAACATTGTGCAGGAAGGCCGTGGTTAAAGTTAAGGACTCGGAAGGCTCCTGGGATAGGTGCAAGCCGCTTAGAATCATCTGGCATGAACTTAGGGAATTTGGCCCGGAAAATACCATCATTATCGACGACATAAGAGAAAACTTTCTCATGAACCCTCAGTCTGGCTTGGCTATAAGGAAGTTTAACAACCAGAAGAATGATGAAGAGCTGAAGAAGCTGGCCAAGTATCTGAAGAAAATATCTAGCCGCGGTAGCTTCAAAAATTTGGAACATTCAAACTGGGAAAAGCTCTCCAAAATTATTGATCAATGCTAAAATTCACACTTCACCGATTTTTTTTTAAACTTGAAATGCAAAATTTTTAGTACTCAATTTTTCATGAAATCCACCTCGAGTGTTACCTATTTTTTTATTTTATTCTTTTTTGATGCTATTCATTGACAAAATATGAATAACATCAATTTTTAAAATTTATTGAGCTTTCATTATGTCAATAATAATAAAAATAAATTAATTAAGATTGACAATGTATTTCGCTGTCTTTTGTCCATCTCATATGCTATTTAACTTTTTCCAAATAAGATCTCAGTTTGATCTGATAATTTTTTTTTGTATGGGAAAAGTTTGACATGAATTTACTAAAAAAATTCCATAATTGAGTAGTATTGGATTTCTATCTTTTTTTTGTGCAATTAGGGCGATTGCTAAATTTTTGTTTATTTTATTCAGAATGTAATTATGAATTAATATTAATGAAAGATCAAAATTTTTAAGCGAATGCTTTTACATTGCAAGGCATTTATGTATTGACAAACGCCTAGGCGAACATTTTGTTTAAAAATTTCACTATTCTCTGAACTCGGATCCTGTGGTCAAGGAACGACTTTTTGCAACAACAAACAAAGGCAAACTCTACTCAGATCACATGATCACAATCCCAGTTGTAACAAGAGAAGTCAGGTATAACCCTAAAAAAATCCTCTTGAAGTGAGTATGGAGCCCAGCATCTCCGAAGTGGAGGCCGCCGGCCGGAGGGCAAAAGTAAGCTTCACTGGTCCGTTATCAGGACGTTTTTTGTTATAAATTAAAAATTAAAATTATGAAAATTATTATTATTATTTTCCTGTTATTTTCAAGTGCTTAACCACACTCTTTTCGCGCATTTATTCAAGAATAAGAGCAGTGAACTGTACTGGTGACAGCCATCTAACGGCAAGTTCTCGAACCTCTTGACTCTCGATAGTCTCGATTCTCGATATTGGGTCCAACTTTCAAGCAAAGAGGTGTGTAATTTTTGTATGTACATAGTATGTATTATTTTTGTTTACATTTTGACTTTCATATAAATTGATTGATTGAAATCCTCGCCTTCTTTTCCGGTTCTAACGAAACCAAGAGACCTGTATCTTTTTTGAGATAGCAGTGAGATACAAGGTAATTATAACTTTTTTAATTTAAGCTCAAAATGGTTCTTCTGATCTTTTTTTAGGTTTTACGTACATTTATGTATACTTCTCATCAAGGTCTACACAATGACTTTTCATAATATAATTTACTTTATATTCCTCAGCTACGTTTCATTTTTGAAACAATTAAAAAAAATCCAGGTTGCAGACACCACCGGAGGCTAAAATGAGCAGCAGCTACTTGGACAACCTGGCCACCTCTAGGGAAAATTGGCTCGCCAAATTGGAGGGAATGAATGTTAATCGGACGGACATGAACAAACTCATCATGAACTACTTGGTCACTGGTACAGAAAGGGAAGGGGAGCAGAATTTTAAATTTGCTTAATCAATTCAATTTCAGAGGGATTCAAAGAGGCAGCTGAAATGTTCAAACAAGAGTCTGGTGTGGAACCGAGTGTGGATTTGAACTCTTTGGACCACCGGATTCGAGTTCGAGACGCAATCCAGGGTGGAAACATCCAGGCAGCAGTGGCCATGGTCAATGAACTGCATCCTGAGTTGCTCGACAACGATAGATTTCTCTTCTTCCACCTGCAGGTGAGATTTTCAAATTTTATAGAAAATTATCAATATTATTATTGATTTTTTCAGCAACTTCAACTTATTGAACTGATCAGAGCAGGACGGGTGGAGGAGGCCCTAAGTTACGCCCAAGAGCACCTTTGTGAGGCAGGAGAGGCGGACGCAGCAGTTTTGGCCGAACTGGAAAGGACCTTGGCACTTTTGGCCTTCGATCAACCAGAGCAAAGTCCATTCAGTGACCTCCTTCAGCCAGCCCACAGACAAAAAGTAATCTTATTTAACCGTTTGATTTGCTAATCAAGGTTTATTAAATTTAACTTTTGAAGGTTGCAAGCGAGTTGAACGCTGCGATTTTGCGAATGGAAGACCAAGAGGCCACCTCCCCAAAGCTGGCTGACTTATTGAGGCTGATCTTGTGGGCGCAAGAGGAATTGGACAAGAAGAAAATCAAGTACCCCAAAATGGTCGACCTTGCCGACGCCACAATCGATAAGGTGGACATGTCTAAGTGACAAATGATCCACTCTCTGCTCGATGCTTTCTATTACGGCTGACTAACAGTAGAAAAGTCTATCTTGCGGGAGTAATTAATCTTGGAGATCTTTTGAACATGAATTTATTATAATTTTTTTTAGTCGATTCAGAAGTTTATCTGAATTTAAGTAATACTGATAACTAAATAATAATGCTATTTGTTTTTGTACATAAATTAAATGTAAAAAAAAATGTCATTTGTTGTGATATTCAGACACAAAATTTCGACTAGATTACAATTAGTGTATAATTGTGTTGCTTTGCCCAGAAAATAAATATCTGCAAATCGTTAATTACAGAGCTTATTAGATTGCATTCATGCCAAAGTAAACCATGTTTCTTGCCAACATGTAATGAGTTGGTTTTTATTATTCACTGTCAGTGCTTATGCGTAATACATTTTGCTTTGTGTCCAGTTTTTGAGCTAAATGCTTGACAGCTATTCAGCTTGAAAACAGGACGCAGTGATTAAAAATTAGACAAAATGTTAAGAAAATAAATATCAAGATTAGTGCATAGTTCACATGGAAAGGATCAAGCTATTACTTCAACAATTGAAACATGTTTTGCACTTTCTTGAGTTTGTCAGGTTTAGTCTTTTCCTTCTACCATCCAAAAACGTAGTCCATTGCTTTTGAAACCATACCAGTTGATTTTCTAGGCAAAACTGAAGTTTCCACCTGAAAATCAATTTATTTAGTAAAACTTTGAGACTGCAAAAAAAATTTTTACTGAAATATCTGGGCTGGCCACTAGTGATCTGATGCTTGAGTTCATCGGACTGCCGTAAGTGGATGAGTTGAGGCAAGAAGTGTTTGCAGATGTGGACGAAAAAATGTAAGTGCCACCTGCCTCTGAAAAGCTGTTGTTGGCCCCTGGAGAAGTGGCCACTTTGCTTCTCCAGCCTTGAATTACACCCTAGATAGTTTAAAATTTAATAAAGTTGCGTAATAAAAATTAAAACAAAATAAAAAAGAGGAAATTTTAGCCATTTTTCGGAGTCAGCATTTCAATTTATATCTACTAAATTTAATTTAGTAAATTACTTTGTCCATGCAGGGGACCACAGCAATCATAGTGTCCAGTCCCAGGAGGCTGCCATGCCTTCCGAGAGCCCTTCTGGTCTCGGCAGGATTGGCAAACCTGAGGTGCATCCAGTTAGCCTTGGGAGAGGTCGGCACATGTCGGACAATTATGTTACCGCAGCTGGCAATCCAAGTGAGAACGGCAGGGACCATCGTGAAGGGAAAGCCAAAAACAGTGACCCAGTGCTCGGCCTCTTTGTTTTCGTCATTGGCATGCCTACGAGAAGAAAAATTAAGATTTGAATAAAGAAAAAAAAATTAATTACCAGTCGTAATTAGGGGAGGTAAAAGCCGAAGCCTCTGCAGTTCTCATCGGAGTCAAACTATGTCCAAAGCTGGGAGCCGTCATTTGGCTCTGGTTGAAAGCAAAGCTCTGGTTGGAGGCAAAACTTACATTCTGCTGGCTGAGGAGGCTCTGGTTTTGGAATGAGGTGTTGGTAACGTCGCTCAGGCTCATTATCGGCGGTCCTCGCTTCTGCGGAGAGGCAGCTCCTTGTTGCGGAGTGCCAGTCAATCTTAATTTAATTAGGATTAATTATCAAAATGAGTTAAAATGGTTGGAAATTTCAATTACCTAGCTCTGAGAGGGTTAACTGGGGTCCCAGCGTACACAGTGCTGTGGTGAGAAAACGCGTCGGGAGCGAAAGAAACCCTTCGAGGGGTCTGAGAAGAAGAGGGAGTGCTCGTAGACTCTGAAGGATTCTGTAGGTTTTATTTTGAAGGAATGTGTAAATCACGATAACTAATTATTTTATAATACTTTTGACGCTGGACTTGCAAGATCTCCCATCAGGAAGCCAGGTGCAAACGCAGGACTGACATTTCCAGGTGAACCCAAAGCCATTGGCTCCATGATATTCTAAAAAGAGCAGCAGGTGTGGAGTAAAAAATATCTCTTGAAACTTAAGAAGAATCAAAAGAATTAAAGTTTTGAAGTTTCCTTGCGCATTTTAAGACACATATTATTGCGTTATTTACCTTATGCTTGTAAAATATGTTGTAAGAATACTAAAACTTTTACTTGATGAAATTAATATTTGTCTCCTCGAATTCAATGAATTACATAAATATTATAATCCTTATATTTAGTCCAACCGACAATCAAAATTCTCAGTTGCTCAGTTCACAACTTTGTTGATTTTGTTCACAGTCGGTACATATATGTAATGCAAATTCAAACTATGCATATTAATTTCGTCTAATATCACCATATTATAATTCAATCGAAAGTTTTTACGGACAAGAACATAAATGAGATAATTACCAAGTTTATTGACGGGAGTTGATTAACCCAACGTGTTCTAGCAGCAGTCAACAATTATTTTAAAACATGGCGCCAGCATGGCTGAAAAGCGCAAGAAAAAGGGGGCGTGGTTGGTTTACTTCGTTTGTTTTGTTTATTATTTACGTATAGACAAATTTGAGAAAGCACAAGAGGGACGATCGAGGCCTCACTTTATCCGAATTTTCCCACTTAAATAAGTAATTAACGATGGACGATGATTATGCCGCTTTCGCTGGTGGAAAATTAAAGATTAAGAAGAACGAGGGAGTTGAATCTGCTTCCAAAAAGTAAAAAAACAAAATTCCAAACAAGGTTTTTGACTTTTGTGTTTCTTTCAAGTCCCAAGAGTCGGATGTCGAATGCATTTTCGTTTTTGGGGAATCGTTTTTAAAATTTACATATCTCGACTTGCAGAAAGAAGAAGAAGGACAAGGAAAAGAAAAGACTGGACCAGAAGATTCAAAAGGTGGTCGACGCTGCAAAGAGCAGCGAAGATGACGACTCCAAGGATGGACATGAAACTTCTAACGTTCCTACAAGGAGATACACAAAGGCTGAGTTGGCTTTCAAGAAGCAGCAGGAGAAAATCGTAAGCCTTTCTACAAATAATAAAATTTCACTTTTAAATTAAATTTTAATTTTCCAGCAAAACGAAAGAATAAATAACAAGGCAATGAAGACACACAAACAGCGGGTGGAGGAATTCAACAGACACCTCGACAACCTCACGGAACACTTTGACATCCCTAAAGTTTCGTGGACGAAGTAGAGCACTTTGTTCGCCTATTGTTTTGCTGCCTGAATATGAAAGTATAACGTGAGTTTTTTTTTGTAATTCGAAGTGTCCATTAAAGTTTTATGATCGAAGACTATTTCGTCCCAATTACATTCTGTCCACTTAATATAATTTTTAAATTATTGTATTCTTAAATAAGGGTATTCTAAAAAATCTACATACATATAGCTTTGATTTTATGAGAATTTTTAATTTGCTAACAATCACTCTTCCTGACGCAACCCAGTCCGCAACCCTTGGTCTTTCTTTTCTCCTGGGTCAGTTGGATTCCCATTTGGTGTGGTCGATGTTCTCAAAACTGCTTCTCCGTGCGATCTTCACCAGGTACTTGCCGAGCTTTAGCAGCTCAACGTCTTTCTTCATGCCAGCCCGAAACTCTTTAATCAGCACTCCAGATTTTTTATTCAAAAAAAAATTTTCTTCTATATCATCTACGATGATTGTGTTTTGGGGACCAAAAAATGGGTACTTGTTCCAAATTATTGAAAGTGGCTTGCATCTAACCCAGGCTCCTTCGCTCTTGATATTGACCACAGCTTTCCTGCAGAGGATCGCTTTGATGCTAATAAAGATTCAAGTAGATAAATTAAACCAATCACATACTACAAATGCTCTTTGCTAATTACCCATAGTCCTTGTTCGAGTCCATTCCGAGCTCCTCCAACACACTCCAAATCCTATCCAAAGGAGAATCGCTCCAAATCATTAAATTAAAGGACTTGGCGACCTTAGCCAGGAATTGGTGCAGAAAAGGTCTTTGTTCTGGCACAAATTCCTCCCACTTATCATGCAAGAGAGTGTGGTCAAGATCGAGAACCAACAACTTCTTGGCTCGAGCGAAGCGTTGGAGGACCTTAGGAATTGATTTTATTAACTAAGCACGACATATAATAATTATTATCTTACTTTAATTTCGTAGGCTTTGGCCTTCTTCGCCACAATTTTGGTATTATTGGAATTTTCGCTCATCCTGAAATTCTCGCAGGCAAAATTTACAGAAATTTCGAACCGAGAAGCTTTTCAAACCGAATGATAATCCAACAATGTGGAATTTCCTCAAGCTCAATAATTTAAAAATGCAGAGATTGGGCCCCATTGTTGTTTTTATAAAAGTAGCAGATTGTTTCTAGACAAAATGAAAATTTGACAAAAATTTTAAATTTTAACCTATTTAGGAAATAATAATGCAATAAAATAATAATACAAGTTATTTCCATCAGTCCATGCGGTTAGTCATTTTCGTGTTGCGGCGTCCCAAAAGCAAAAACTTTGGTCCTCACTGGTCTTCAACTGAGAAAATTATTTACATGTTATCTGCTATCGCAATGTTTATATTATAATATTATATCTTTCTTAAACTGAGTATTTAAATTTTTTGCATTTTTATTTTAAAACAGAACTCAATTTTCGTCTCAATAATATTTTCATTCACTTATTATTTTGTCTTTGTTAATACATTGGAACTTGATTATGCAGTATGTATAATGCAATGACTCGTGCCCAGTGGACTCGCGCCCCTCGCGCCTAATTATTCAAATTTCAATTTTCGAAACTTGAAGACAACGGGACGGCGCTTGGGACTTGCTAGTGTATCCTCGAGCCCGCGACGGCCGACAATCCCCTCGTTGCACACGCTGGCCGAAAAGGGTGAAAGGGAGCAAAAACGCAACCAGGTGCGCCGGTTCTTGCCGTTGGCAGCCCGCGCTGCTTGCACGCCGGGAAAATGCTGATGGGCCCGTGTGTGTTGGCCAATAACCGTGTTGGCCCGCCTCGTTTAATTGTCCTTTGCCGCAAGATGATCACACAGCCGCGGGCGACTCTTGCTTGCGTTTTCTCGCCCTTTCGCTTCTCTCTCTCCTTCCTCTCGAGCAGCAGACGGCCGTTAGCCAAAATAATTGATATTATTTCTCTCATTTGAAATTTTTCTTCTTATTTCTTATTCTCTCAGATTTAAAATTAATTCTCCTCCTTTTGAGAAAAATTCCTCTCTTTGCGTTTTGATTGGAAGTTTGGTTGGAGCTCTTTTGATTTTATTTGTCAGTTCACCGGCTGGCCAGGTAAAACGCGTGAGGATGGGGTTGTGAGCGCGGCTAGGGGGTGGAATTCTTGGTGCCGTGTGCAAAGAGAAATCGCTGCGCTCGGGAAGGAAAAATGTAACCCTTCGTGATTTTAATTGTTTTTCTCCAAATTCAAGAGGCTAAATTAGGCGGACAAAATCGATTGTCCGTGTTAATTTTGAGTTTACTTTGAGCCTTTTTGTGGTTCCCTGCAATTTATACATTTAGTACAGAGTTAATTTCGCATGCAATTCCAAATTTTGGCAAATTTTCTGTTTTCTTCTTCTTTTGGTTGCAGAATTGCAAAAGGCAGTTCTGCTTTTTTTCAATTTTTTTTCTTCAGATTTTACTTCTGAATTTCATTTGGCAAATACTGCTTTTTCTTAAATTTAAATTCACACTCGCTCTTATTTTCTTGGCCCAGTGTATTAATTTTTACGTTAATTTTACTCTTAATTTAGTTTATTCCCTTTAAAGTGCTTTAAAGATAAAAATTGGGCCTTCAATATTTTCGTAAAGTGAAAATTATTTTAAATCCTAACATGCACATTTTTATTTTGTTGAAAAGGAATGCAGCTCATGGTTGCTGCGTTCGAGGCTGTTTTTCTCCGAGTGCGCGTTATTTGCCTTGCTCGAGGAAGATAGTCATCCTTGGCCTTGCTGTGGCAGTCGCCTCTCGGTCGGTCGTCCACCCCTTATTCTCGCTGCTGCTGCTTGCTCAGGCTAGCGGTGCCTGACCTGAGAATAGAGGCGCTCGTCGCTTCCCTTATCTCCTGCTGCTGTTGCTGCCACGGGGTTGCTCGGCGGCCATCTGGATGGTCATGCAGTCGGAATAAGTCCTTTTGGCGACAGCCTGGCGGCTACGCACCTGAAGCACGGCGAGCTGCGCTGGGCTCCTTTTCTTCGTTCGGGGAGATTTTACTTTCATGTGCACAAAACATACTTAAAAAATTTGAAAATAAATTTCCAATTTTTTATTTTCACTCACTCAGATTATGCTCCGGTGTCACGGAGCAGCAATATAGGTTTCCGCGGCTACCAAAAATAAATAAATATTTACATCAGCCACGGGAATTTGGTATTCCTATAGGTTATAACTGAAATAAAACACACATTGAACAAGCAAAAAAAGGAAAGGAGGAAATTCACCCCTTTATATGCAATTGTATGCAATGAAGAAATAGAGACTTGCCCATGATTTCTGGCCCCTCATTATTCATTAATCTTGATTTATCTGTTTTCGTTTAAATAATAAAATGAAAAACCCAAATTTGAACTACTAGATAAACTTTCTTTCACTATTAATACATAATAAACAACCTAAGCTCCTGATTAATAGGATCATCGTATCCTTGATTAACCTATATTTTAAAAATTAAGCCATTGCTAGTACTTCACTGTAAAAACTAGGTCATGTATCAGGTTTCTTTTGACTATATTCTCGTCTAAGCTCCTGAACAATAGGATCATCATATCCTTGATAAATCTATATTTTAAAAATTAATAGGAACATCATATCTTTGATAAACATACATTTTAACAATTAAGCCATTGCTAGTTCTTCACTGTAAAAAATAGGTCATGGTTCAGCTTTCTTTCGACAATTTTCTCGTCTAAGCTCCTGAATAATAGGACATCATATCTTTGATGAACCTATTTTTTAAAAATTTAAGCCATTGCTAGCACATCACTGTAAAAAATAGGACATGGTTCAGCTTTCTTTCGACTATTTTCTCGTCTAAGCTCCTGAATAATAGGAACATATCTTTGATAAACCTATTTTTTAAAAATTTAGCCATTGCTAGTACTTCACTGTAAAAAATAGGTCATGGTTCAGGTTTCTTTCAACTATTTTCTCGTTTAAGTTCCTGAATATTTGGAGACTATTTAATTTTCATAAACCTTTATTTTAAAATTTAAGCAATTGCTAGTCCTGAGCTGTCAAAAAAGGTCATGGTTCAGCTTTCTTTCGACTATTTTCTCGTCTAAGCTCCTGAATAATAGGAACATCATATCTTTGATAAACCTATTTTTTAAAAATTTAAGTCAATGCTAGAACTTCACTGTAAAAATAGATCATGGTTCAGGTTTCTTTCGACTATTTTCTCGTCGAAGCTCCTGAAAAATAGGAACATCATATCTTTGTTCAACCTATTTTATAAAAATTTAAGCCAATGCTAGTACTTCACTGTAAAAAATAGGTCATGGTTCAGGTTTCTTTCGACTATTTTCTCGTCAAAGCTCCTGAATATTTGGAACATTTAACTTTCATAATCTTTTATTTTAAAATTTAAGCAATTGCTTGTCCTGAGCTGTCAAAAATAGGTCATGGTTCAGCTTTCTTTCGACTATTTTCTCGTTTAAGTTCCTGAATATTTGGAACATTTAACTTTCATAAACCTTTATTTTAAAATTTATGCAATTGCTAGTCCTGGGCTGTCAAAAATAGGTCATGGTTCAGGTTTCTTTCGACTATTTTCTCGTCTAAGCTCCTGAATATTTGGAACATTTAACTTTCATAAACCTTAATTTTAAAATTTATGCAATTGCTAGTCCTGGGCTGTCAAAAATAGGTCATGGTTCAGGTTTCTTTCGACTATTTTCTCGTCTAAGCTCCTGAATATTTGGAACATTTATCTTTCATAAACCTTTATTTTAAAATTTAAGCAAATGCTAGTCCTAAGCTGTCAAAAATAGGTCATGGTTCAGCTATCTTTCGACTATTTTCTCGTTTAAGTTCCTGAATATTTGGAACATTTAACTTTCATAAACCTTTATTTTAAAATTTAAGCAATTGCTAGTCCTAAGCTGTCAAAAATAGGTCATAGTTCAGATTTCTTTCGACTATTTTCTCGTTTAAGTTCCTGAATATTTGGAACATTAAACTTTTCATAAACCTTTATTTTAAATTTTATGCAATTGCTAGTCCTAACCTGTCAAAAATAGGTCATGGTTCAGCTGTCTTTCGACTATTTTCTCGTTTAAGTTCCTGAATATTTGGAAAATTTAACTTTCATAAACCTTTATTTTAAAATTTATGCAATTGCTAGTCCTGGGCTGTCAAAAATAGGTCATGGTTCAGGTTTCTTACGACTATTTTCTCGTCTAAGCTCCTGAATATTTGGAACAATAATCTTTCATAAACCTTTATTTTAAAATTTAAGCAAATGCTAGTCCTAAGCTGTCAAAAGTAGGTCATGGTTCAGCTTTCTTTCGACTATTTTCTCGTTTAAGTTCCTGAATATTTGGAACATTTAACTTTCATAAACCTTTATTTTAAAATTTAAGCAATTGCTAGTCCTAAGCTGTCAAAAATAGGTCATGGTTCAGGTTTCTTTCGACTATTTTCTCGTTTAAGCTCCTGATTATTTGGAAAATTTATCTTTCATAAACCTTCATTATAAAATTTAAGCAATTGCTAGTCCTGAGCTGTCAAAAATAGGTCATGGTTCAGCTTTCTTTCGACTATTTTCTCGTTTAAGTTCCTGAATATTTGGAACATTTAACTTTCATAAACCTTTATTTTAAAATTTATGCAATTGCTAGTCTTGGGCTGTCAAAAATAGGTCATGGTTCAGGTTTCTTTCGACTATTTTCTCGTCTAAGCTCCTAAATATTTGGAACATTTAACTTTCATAAACCTTTATTTTAAAATTTATGCAATTGTTAGTCCTGAGCTGTCAAAAATAGGTCATGGTTCAGGTTTCTTTCGACTATTTTCTCGTCTAAGCTCCTGAATATTTGGAACATTTATCTTTCATAAACCTTTATTTTAAAATTTAAGCAAATGCTAGTCCTAAGCTGTCAAAAATAGGTCATGGTTCAGCTTTCATTCGACTATTTTTTCGTTTAAGTTCCTGAATATTTGGAACATTTAACTTTCATAAACCTTTATTTTAAAATTTAAGCAATTGCTAGTCCTAAGCTGTCAAAAATAGGTCATGGTTCAGCTTTCTTTCGACTATTTTCTCGTTTAAGTTCCTGAATATTTGGAAAATTTAACTTTCATAAACCTTAATTTTAAAATTTATGCAATTGCTAGTCCTGGGCTGTCAAAAATAGGTCATGGTTCAGCTTTCTTTCGACTATTTTCTCGTTTAAGTTCCTGAATATTTGGAACATTTAACTTTCATAAACCTTAATTTTAAAATTTATGCAATTGCTAGTCCTGGGCTTTCAAAAATAGGTCATGGTTCAGGTTTCTTTCGACTATTTTCTCGTCTAAGCTCCTGAATA